AATTCTCCTAAATCACTCGTACGCACAACTTAAGAACAAATGTGTGCGTACGAACGGTTCTTGCATGAGGCCCAATGTTCACATTGTTATTCATTCAATGTCCTGGATCTGTTTGGCTCTTTTTACATGACTGTAAGCCTTTAGCTACTGTTATACTACTTTTGGCTTTAGCGATTCTTTAGCTATTTTTGCAGCTTTTAGCTAGCTACATTTTGCTTTTACCTAGCAGTTTGATATTTTAAACAAGCCCTTTGCTATTTTTACCTGACCTTTTGCTGTTTTAGCTAACGTTTTGTGACTTAAAGCTTTTTTGTTAGAATTTGCTATTTTTAGTCACCTCTTTGCTGCTTTGGTTATTTTTTTCTACTTAAAGCTTTTTGCTAACCTTTAGATACTTTCAGCTTGTAACTAGCCTTTTGCCACATACAGGTTTAAGATACCACATTGCTTCAAGTTAGTGTTCTGCCTGTTTTAGCTTCAATAACTCAACTTCATCAGCAGATTTCAACAGTCATTCAGTGTTTTCTCTGCATTTTCACTAGTTTTAGTTCTTCTATTTTGTGGTTTCGAGTATGCTAAAATCATTAATCACAATAAATGAATCCAACAAAGCCATCTACTGAAAGTAGCATTCTCTTCCTGTGTAAACAACACTGATCCAGCAGTGAGAAAAATGAATGGAAATAGCTGATCAATCACTCTGCTTTATTAAAAGCAAACAGTAAGTTTTAGCTGTTGAAGTATCATCTCTAAACAAATTAAAGCTTTTCAAATCAACAACCAAGAGTTTTCATGTTGTTAGCAGGCTCTGGAAACTCTAAAGAAGTTTTCTACTGAAAAGGTAGTCACTGATTCTTTGTTTCTCTTGGAAAAGAAAAAAACAAAACAGACTGACAGAAAAGGTACAAAATATTAGACGTATGCTAAAAAGCCGGTGCTTGTTTTGCTCTAATGCAGGGCTATTTAACTGGCGGCCCGCGGGCCACATCCGGCCCGCGAGTGACCAAAGTTCGGCCGGCCAATTGGTTCACTCATCTCTTAAGCCCAAACCCCCGGTTTTCTACTTTAATTACTGTAAGTTCTTTTAGTTAAACATAGACATGTTTGGTGTCTACAGAAACGTCAGAATCTTGGCCAGAAGCTGGTAAAAACAATTTCTATGAATACTCAAGAGAGTTAAAACTACAAGCAGTTCAAGATAAAATGATAAAAGTGAAGTTTAAAAATTTGGCAAGTCAGAGATTTCAAAATATTTGTGTCAAATAGGAGGCATAATGCGTTCTTTTTGTTTTAGAAAATTCTTAATTATCACTACTTTTATAGGGTTCTGTATGTTGTATTCATGATTAAATGCAACAAAATAAACTAATTCGAAGGTAACAAATCTTTGTAATTCTTGGTTTATTTACATAATAACTTTCATTGCTGGATGTTCAGCCCCCCCAGCTGTTGACCGGCAGTAACTGTGCCCCCCGGAGCAATTTAGTTGAATAGCCCTGCTCTAATGAATACAGTCGATATTTCCAATCATAAAGATCTGAACTATTCCTTCAAAGTAAAAATCGTAGTTTTACACCAACAGGAATGAGCAACACTTTGTTTCCGTCAGCAGCATAAACATATTTGAAACACAAAGGATGCTAATCTAATGTACTCACATTCGATCCGTTCCATAACTGCGGTAGTCCACGGCTGCTGAGACCGCCACGATCAGCGCAGGAACTCCGTAGCCCACCAGGTAGAAGTATCGCCGGCGCGAGTGCTCGCTCTCAAACACCTCCACCAACATGATGTAGAGCTGCACGCCCTCCAGGAACATCCACGTGAACGCTGCCAGGAAAAAGAAGTGGAGCAGGGCGGCAAAGACAGCACAAGCAATCTGGGGAAGTATTTTAGTAACAGAGACACACAGAGACAGGGAYACAAAGGATGAAGGGAGTGTTACTGCTCAAGTTGAAGTGTTGATTTTCCTGAAAGATTACAGTCAAAGAAAGTCCAAACTTGGGACATAAAAATAGCAGGAAAGTTAAACATTTATTCAGATTTAAGATCAGGTAGATTGCAACAAATACAGGTGCTGGTCATAAAATTAGAATATCATGAAAAAGTAGATTTATTTCAGTAATTCCATTTAAAAAGTGAAACTTGTATATTATATTCATACATTACATACAAACTCATATATTTCAAATGTTT